ACACCTACTACTGCTACGTCTAGTACGCTTAGTACTGCTACGTTTAGTACACCTACTACTGCTACGTCTAGTACGCGTAGTACTGCTACGTCTAGTACGCTTACTACTGCTACGTTTAGTACACCTACTACTGCCTCCTTTTGCCTTCTGGACGCCTCTTTGTTTTCCCTTTTCTCTCTAGCTCCTCTCTTCTACCTTCTTGCTATTATTCACTTAAATGTGGGTCTTTGAATAAAACAAGTTGACTACGCCTACTACTGCTACGCCTAGTATGTGTACTACTGCTGCTACTCCTGTTGGTATGCCTGATGTGTCAGGGCCATTTTCGTCAACTCCAGTGTCGCCGTGCTATCCGTCAAGAATGCGCTGTGCCCCTGATCGCTTAAATTTGTGAGTATTGAGTGACTATCTTAGCATTAGTCATGAGTGACTCGCCTAGCAATTCTGACATTGCCTTAGAGTGTCCTATTCCGCTATTTGTCTGTAATACCAGGGTATTGTATCATAGTTAGTCGGATATAAGGATTTTCTGTTGTATATAGTTTGTTTTGATGCATTTTGATTATATGCATTATTGCTATTCCCACTTCACTACTTCTTTAAGGAAGGAGGATTGTTATAGATTGATCTATTACACACGAGTCACAGAAAAACCACGCGTCTTGATTGTCGTAACTTAAAGATTTACTTAAAGATTGATCTATTATTAATATTTGTGGTACGATCTACGATCTACGTTCTGCTACGTGTGTCGTTCTACGTTCCTTTGATGCATGCATGACGAAGAGTGACAATGTCTTACCTCATTGTGAATCAGTCTTCTTCTGCATTACGCCTGCATGGCTGACGTGTGTCTTACTTTGGTACGAGCTGACGAGACATACTGTCGTGTCATAGCGCCATTAGCGCCACGACAGCACTGACGTGGCTCTGCTGCTTATCTCTCCATGATTGCTTTTAACATGTTCTCTTCTAAATTATCCTAGAACAAACCAGATGGTGTTTCCTGCTGTGGCATACGCGAGTTGCATAGAATGAATCTTGCGTGCGTACGTTATAAATTGTATTTTGTATTGTATTTATTTAAAAGGATTCTCCAAAAGCAAATGGATGCATAACAATTTCTCCTTGTCACAACTTGGTTACCTAAGCTACAACTACACTATACTACACTGAAACCACTGCTACCTGCCTGCCACAAGTCCGGCCTAATGTCGGCTGGGATGTCCGAGACGATGTAAAAAAACTGGAGCTCGAAAAGAAAGTTGTGTTACTTTGTGATTCTCCATTTGAAAGCTCTATTTTGCTGCCTCTGCCTACGTGGCAGGGGACATGTACGGGATGGAGCAAGCCATGGTGGGTCACGTGATGACAGCCCTAAGCCTACCGACTGCAGTCACTGCACACTGAACAAGTTCAGGCATGATCACGTGTTTTCTCCTGGCAACTGGGTGCCTGTTCATCTACCACTTGCTGTCCACTCACCTTTTCATTACCAGGTCGGCAAGTCTCCATACAACGGGATATCTGCTGTGTCATTTTTCGAGGCTGCAGGACCTCACTTCACGCATCTTCTACTCTCTGTGTAGGCACTCCTGCCGGCGCCATCTCCTCAGACCTTCTACACCATCACACTTGTCATTTTGCTCTTACTCGAACCCCTGTTAATGATCCCAGCATTCTCTTAAAGAGAGCATGTCTGAGAATACCAAAGTATGTGTGCAAGTGAATCTCTCCGATTTCGCTCCAAATTTGCAGGTAGGTTCCCTTTGGTGTGTGGATCGATTGTGCAAAGCCCTTGAAAAAGTTTCTGAAGGGAACCTTGAAATTTGCATACCCTCAAAAATGGCCGAAATATCACATTATTTATGGGTCTAGAAACGAGTCATGCCACAGCGTATCCGAACAAGCTATGAACAAAACTCCATCAAGCCAACATTGCCTCACCTTAGAAGAGTTCCTGGAGCAGTGCCGCTTAGCCACGCCAGGATCCCAGAAGACTAGGTCTATCACCCCCTGACGCCACAAATGATCGTCTTGAAAATAGCCAATTTACAAGCGCTGGCAAAACAGCCAGCTACGTCCTCAATTGGCCAGAACTATACACCGGCAGATAGTAGAACACCTCTTCTAGCGCTGAGGACATGTCCCCCATCTTCCTTTTGGGGTTTTCTTGAAATAAACTTTTTTGAATTTTTCCACTCGACCATGCTGAAATACGGCCAAAGTCATACCTGCGCAGGAAAGCTCGCCCCTCCGCGACGTCTCCTCAGCAATTTCTACTCCAACAGTACTCCCAAGGCCGCAGAACAAAGTGTATTGTTGACTCTGACAAGGAAAAGCAGCGGTGATCACTTGTCACTCCAAACGACAAGCTTCTCCTTGCGCCACCAATAATTATTGTTTGTGCTATACTGTTGATGCAAAAGTGACTGAAGTCCTGCGCGCAGTTTTTGAATTTTACTACAAGAGGCACGGTGAGATCGCGTGCTCTGTGACGTAGGATGACGCTTCCTGGATCACGACACGCCGCCATCGATCGCGAACGTGTCTGGAACGCTACTCGGAACAGACCATGATGGCAGAGCTAGAGGTAAGATGAGCTGCATTTCCTGCTTGATCTGCTGAGAACCCCCACAAACTGTCCTAGGAGTGTTGCAATGGCAGCAAGCCGTTGAAATATGCCCCTCGTACAGCATGGAGAGTTATTCATCTTTCACACTTACCTCCTGCAATCCCGAACATAGTCCAACAGTAAAAGTCCCTTGTTTTCATATCGATGCTCGACGAAAGCTGCTATCTCGGTCGCTTTGTGTTGACTGGCACGCGACCAGCACTGGCTGCACGGCGTGCACGCACTTGTCGCGTGAACTGCATGAGAGATTTCTTACGTCATAAAGAATGTCATTTCATCATCATTTCACTGGTCTTCGACCTACATGGTCAGGGAAAGTCCCGGTTCGTAGGCCTACAACACGGTCAGCGTGTTCTTGAGCGCAGTAACAACACAAGTGTGATCACTTCCAGACCAACGGGCGTTCAAGGCGAGTAACAAGCGCACTTTACGAAGGTGACTCTGAAATCTCGTGAGCCGTGATCCACGCGACTTGGCATTCTTGCGTCACAAGGCACGTGATTTCACCGTGCCTCTTGTAGTAAAATTCAAAAACTACGCGCAGGACTTCAGTCACTTTTGCATCAACAGTCGCACAAAAAATTATTGGTGGCGCAAGGAGAAGCTTGTCGTTTGGAGTGACAAATGATCATCGCTGCTTTTCCTTGTCAGAGTCAACAATACACTTTGTTCTGCGGCCTTGGGAGTACTGTTGGAGTAGAAATTGCTGAGGAGACGTCGCGGAGGGGCGAGCTTTCCTGCGCAGGTATGACTTTGGCCGTATTTCAGCATGGTCGAGTGGAAAAATTCAAAAAAGTTTATTTCAAGAAAACCCCAAAAGGAAGATGGGGGACATGTCCTCAGCGCTAGAAGAGGTGTTCTACTATCTGCCGGTGTATAGTTCTGGCCAATTGAGGACGTAGCTGGCTGTTTTGCCAGCGCTTGTAAATTGGCTATTTTCAAGACGATCATTTGTGGCGTCAGGGGGTGATAGACCTAGTCTTCTGGGATCCTGGCGTGGCTAAGCGGCACTGCTCCAGGAACTCTTCTAAGGTGAGGCAATGTTGGCTTGATGGAGTTTTGTCCATAGCTTGTTCGGATACGCTGTGGCGTGACTCGTTTCTAGACCCATAAATAATGTGACATTTCGGCCATTTTGAGGGGTATGCAGGTTTCTTGCAGGTTTGCCGAGTGGAAGGTTCGATGGACGGCAGCACCCATCCTGGACGACCATGGTCGAGTGACGGTCTACAAGGGATTCGTGCGACCCCTACTTGAATATGCCCCACTGGCCTGGTCGAGCGCAGCCGCAACTAACATGGCCCAGCTGGACAAGGTTCAGCAACGTGCCCTGTATTTCCTGGGACCTGGAACCATCCTCCAAAGTCTTCAGCTTCGTCGGATGGTGGCAGCCCTGTCATACTTGTTCAAGCTGCACTACATTCCAGGGCCTCCCCAGGTAAAGGCCATGCTGCCACCAACCAAGCCCCCTGCCGTAGCTAGCATGTGCACACGGCAAACACGTCAGACGCACCATGCCTTTCAGCTGAAGTGGACACCCCCTCGCACAGCCCCTGACTACCTCCTGCGATCCTTCCCCTTCTTCGCCATCACACCCTGGAACAACCTGCCTGCGGACCTCCTGCTTCACGAGCCTCATTCAAGACGCCTCCAAACCTTCAAGGTCAACGTATGTAAGGATCTAATCCGAAAGAGATGGCTGTGGTCCACACAGTACCTGTGACGATGATATTGAGATTTGAGACCCATTTAGTATTTACCTCTCTACTACTACTTGCTTGTTATGATTACTGTCCTCTTTCTTCATTTTCCCTTCTGGTTTAGTCATTACACGTATTAATTTATATTATTTGGTGCAATACTAGCGCCCCTTTCTCGCACCAAATTATTATTTTTGCTACCTGACCATGCACCCCCCCCCTTTTTTTCGATGCCAGGTTGCAACGCTAACGCCGAGACCCCTGGTCGGTAGAGTTGCTCCCTGTACATCGGCACGTCGTCCCTACATCCCCTGTGTCTTGTCTTGTGTTTGTCTCCACATGTCTCTTTGTAGGGCTGTGTTCCCAATAAAAAAAAAAAAAAAAAAAAAAAAAAAAAAAAGGACTTCTCGTGTGTTCTGGATGGCAGTCGTGAGTCAGTCAAGTGTCAAGTAAAGTCGGCGGAATAGCGCGAGCTCCGGTGTGGGGAGCAAACCTTTCTTACATAAAGAGCTTGTCCGCATAATATGCACATAAGTCAATCAGCCAGCAAAACAAGATCAGGTGAGTTGAACTGGTGCCTCGATTGCAAAATAAACATAGAAACATTCTTTTTTTACTCTGTTTTTGCAGAGATGACGGGGCCGAGATTTACAGAATAGTTTAACTTACAGATCCTGAAGGAGTGTCAGGTTGGCAAATACATTGGGAGGAAGGCTTGCAAGTTGATTCTCGTTCAGATGTCTAAAAAAAAAAGAAGAGAAAATTGCATCCAGGAGAATACTTGTGTACAGTGATGGCCGCTAACATATCAGGTGGTAAAGGGTTTTAGGAAATGTATGTGGTGTCCTATAAATCATCCTTATCGTGTAGATTTAAGAGAGCATGTATGAGGAAACCAGACGTTGCGTGAGAATGATGTCTCTGGTATAAGCCAAATTGTGCAGGTGACTTTCTTTTGAGGTGTACATTGACTGTGCAGATCCTTTGAAAAAGTTTCTGAAGGGAACCCCATAAACTGGCCTTCTCCTTGAAAATTGTCGAAATATCACTTGATAAATTAAGGAGTCTGTCTACAAGCGAGCCACGCCAAAGTATTCACGAACAAGCTACGAACTAAAACTCCATCAAGCCAACATTTCCCAAACTTCTCGTCACAGCCTCCCAGGCTACCTGTGCTTTGTGTCTGCGTGCCGAGCCTTCCCGTTTGGCTTTGAGAAATGCTCGTATCGCGACGTTCATTGTTCGTGGACTGTGTTCGAAATCATAACAGCGACAACTCGCTCGTGATTTGAAAACGTATCCCGTCGACTTCTGAGGACTTCAGGACCTGAAAACAAAGGACCCGTTCGACAGAAGTATTAAACTCACAGGCTAGTGATGTTTTGCCTGACAAAAAACTGTTGTGTACCCGCACATGTTGTCCAGGCGTCAGGGGTCCAGCCTGCCTTTACACGCAGCGTCTACAACTGTTTCCTGCAATCTGAGTGCAGCAGATAATAATAAATATGGTGGTAAAGACACACCTGGCAATATGGCGGTATACACACGCCTGCCCACACACACGCTCTCTAGGCTGCAAACTTCTAGCACAGAGCTCTCCTTCTCACCACCACGACCATCAGCTCGTGCCTGGCGCCTAGTCGATGCATGGTTGGTGGTATCCGACATAGCAGGCTGGTACATCAAGTAGCGCATGGCACATAGAAAATGACACAGCAACGACATAGCTCGATTGCGACGTACGTTTCGTCCCCGCTGGACTCATCAGCCAATCTTCTTCTTGGATGTCTTCGTACGGAGCTTGACTCGGGACTTGATGTACCAGCCTGCTATGTCGGATGCCGCCAACCATGCATTGACTAGGCGCAAGGCGGGAACTGATGGTGGTGGTGGTGGGGAGAAGGAGAGCTCTTTGCTAGAATTTTGCAGCCTAGAGAGCGTGCGTGGGCAGGCGTGTGTTTACCGCCATATTGCCAGGTGTGTCTTTACCACCATATTTATCAACCATAAGTACAGCTGCAGTGGCGTCTTCAATTTCATTCTCCAGACAATAATGCTCAAAGATATTCGAGGTTTGGTCATCACATATTACGCAGTACTATATATGCACACAGTTATGCAACTGTTCCCTACGTTCAGTGGTGCAATTGAGAATACTTACAGTTGTTGGAGGTTTGTTAGACCAGAGAACACACCATCACTTAAATTCGGGATCTGATTAGTGCCCAAATTCCTACAAACGACAAGGCACAAGGACAATGTTGTTCTTGCATAGTTCCGGGTAGTGAACAGAACACCGAGTTTAGGATTGTAGTAGTTCTAATCTAAAACGCCGAATCATGACCTTGTTTTCAGAAATAACCTAGACTCCTAACCACATGGTTCATATGCAACTGGGTAAGGTTGCACAGTTCACATACACCACTGTAACATAATTATAGTCTCCGTCATTTGTAAAATATAGTGAAAAGAGGGACAAAATGTTACGAGTTATGACTAACTGTCCACCAACGTACACAGATCTTATACAGTCAGCGAGTGCGACAAAATGGCACAGAACTGACAAGGAGTATTGTTACTGAGTTAGTCATAACTCGTAACATTTTGTCTTTCTTTCTTCACAATAATTTTGTTTGGCTCACCATCCGAGTAAAATATGATCTCCGTCATATTTCTTCTATTGTCAAGCATAAGGTTAGTTGCAAAGCTAAGAAAACACAATTTCTACGAAAACAAATGGCTTCTGCGATTGCGTATCGCTCTATCTGGTAGCACGGTGAAAACGAACTGTATCGGCTGCAGTGCCTATGAGAAAGCAAAGCGAGATTTGCATGCCTCGCTCGGAAGGACGCCGGACAAGACGTGCACGACTTTGCTTACAGACAAGCAGCGGTTAGAGGAGTCTTTGAAGCCAGTGGGAGGATCAGATCTAAGGCCCACGGCGTCGGCGCAGGGCATGGCGATATCGGTCGGAACCGTGGAGAAGCAGCTAGAGTCTCTCCCAAAGGAAAGGAGAAAGGCGATACTGCACAGCAAGGAAGAATTTAACGGTCTATCCATGAGCTATGGAGCGAGCATTAAGGACCCAGATTGTAAGTCGGTGAGTAGCAGCATGTAAAGGAATGGGGGAAGAAAGGTGGGGAAAGAGCGTTGAGAGGCGCAGGGGTTGAAATGGAAGAGGAGGGATAAAGGTTACGCATTGGAAGCTGGCTTCGTCACTTTGAGGCTGTCCGCTGTCCGCAAAACGCCACTTGCGTACTGAGTGGCTGATGGCTTCGGGCCCGAAGGCTTTGTCTAGTACACGCTCTTCATGTTCTGCTCTTGACATTCATACGTATTGGATATGTTTATATCCAGCAGGATTTTTGTCAAAATATCAAATAGTTCTCCTGTAAATTTGAATTAACTGATTTGTTACCATGGCAACCATCATCAATTCTTTCCACCTTCATTGTATGACCTTCCCGATGGATATTTTGATTGAATGGCATACCATCTTGCAGCATTTTGAAAATACTTGACATTCAAATCGAAAAAAACTTGGTGCCCTCTTACGGGGCACGAAACTTGAAAAATAACCTCCCTGGCCCCCAGACAATAGGCGTTCTGTCACAGACACCCACAGACCCAAGTCAATTTTTGAATTTTTCTAGGGCGTGCTACAAGGTCGTACCTTTCATACAACATCCAGTGCTGGGACCTCCACAGCAAGCCATTTCCACAGCGCTTCAAACCGAATCCAGGATACCCTCCAAAATCGGCAAAGACTACCACTCACGTTCCACTACTGCCTAGTACTGAATCCTACCTGACTTCTTGATACGACTCAAACTTGCCAAAGTCACTAAATCAACGTCAACTACAATAATCAAGCCACACATCTGCAACGTCACGAGGGTGCTGGCAAAACTCCTGCCGCACAGCCCGCGGCGGTGCAGCCCAATACGTGTTTCTTTAACGTGATTTTTTGGACTTTTTTTGGAGTTGGGAGCAAAGTTCTGCACACTTTCGCGTCTTTCCATGATACGACAAGTTGCGCACGGTCTGCTCACATTCAAATACAGTGCTGCCAAAAATGACAGCGTGCAACAAAAAAATCTTTCCTTTTTTCATTGTTTTACAATGAGGAAAAATAACTGGCCGCCGCTGCTTGTAAAATATATTGGTTTGAATTGCTACAAATTGCGTGAGAGCGGAATATGATATCAAACAGTATACCTAAACGGGGACTTCCCCAGGGACTCATAGTCCTTGGCGGATCATCGAGTTAGAAAGGGTCCAAAATCCTCGGACTTCATTAGGGTTCGTTTAGTTAATATTTTGTTATGTTTGCAACCCCCCCCCTTTTTTGTTATATTGATGAAGAAATGAAGAAGAAAAAGTGGAAGTGCGTGCCGTAAGGTTTGACAGTTCTGGAAATTCCAATGCTTTTCGAACAGAATCTGTCATTGTTTTAGAGAATTATCCGCAAAGGGCGAATGCCTCATGACTTCAATTTGTGATCTAAAGGCCATATCATCTTCGTTCTGCGTCTCCAAAAACTTCAGAACATTTGAAAGTTAGAGAGGGATACATGATTTTGCATAAGGCACTGTAGGGCAGATCTGAAAATGAAGGGAAATTTTGTTGCACCATTTACTGTGCGCTGCCGTCTGGGTATCCTATGCACGTAACACTTTTCATCCAAGGATTAGGGTTTCACCTTTTGACGGTACCCAGTTACTGCTCTGGATATCTGGACATCGTCTTCCATTCTCTCAATTGGCTCTGACTTTCTTTCAAACTCTTGCTCGTTACGGCTCAGGTAGACGCAACCTCTCTGTGTAGGATCTGATTGCGCTCTTCCTTCAGGCTCTTTCCTCTTTACGTATCACCTGTGATTGTCGGCTGTAGTCGGATGTCCCTTTGCTATTTGGATGGGGACTTAGTGAAATGAAAAATTTCTATTTCACAAGGAAAAAAATTGGAGGTGTGTTCAATTTCGAAAGAAAGATGACAGCACCGACGCAATCCACACAGTCAAGTAAGCCAATTTCGTGACCGAACGTTTTCGCTCCCTTCTCATCATGGGTAAGTACAGGGAATAATGGAAAAAGGTCAAAATACAGCAATTTATAGAGCTACAGCAAACAGCAAAAACCAAAGATTTATTTTATTTTTTATACGAAAGTCCACTAAATTCCCGGATAATCTGACACCCCTAGCACATTACCACACTATATCAAGAACATTCATTGAGCTTTTGTAATCATTGCTGTCTGATGATCGAGACAGGCGTGAAATTCTGAGTCACAGCCAACCCAAGCTCCGTATCCCATTCTTTTTGTATGAAGCTCTGCACCCCGGTGCATTGAACACTCTTTCGAGGACCACACCCGACTTTCCGTGTATGTGCGAGAAGTGTTGGCGGGGCCAGGCGGCTCTGCCGACCTCAACGTTCTCGACGTCTACGCATACAAAGCGCGCCATAAGGAAATAGTATTGTTGTCCCACTGGCCCCCGCCACACAGCAAGCCGAAATTTTGATTGTGTCTCAATTCCTATTATTATACCAACAAATGATGAGGGCATAGGAGGAGAATGTTAAACAAAGGTCAAACGAAAAGTCAGTGCCGATCTGGCAGGCTAGGATGGTCAGGTCTTGAAAGTGCCGTGCACTGTTCGAAGTACAACTGCGCAGCGTTTTTTATTTGGATAAAAGGGACATTCGAGGCTAATCCATGGACTTTTTAGGAACATTCTGTATCAGACAAAAATTGTCTTTTTACCGGGAGTTTTTGTTTGAAACCCCCAGGACCCCGAGAGTAGTGTATGAAGCCTCTGTTACGGGCAGAAGAAACACAATGGATGAAAATGCAATACAAATTTAATGCAAACCCCGAAAACCAGAAAAGGAAAAATTCAAACCAAAAGAACAACAGTGCGTGATTAACATTATAGAGTAGTAGTTGATTTTCCGGGATTGTTTCGGGAAAACCGGGAGGGTTCGCCTGTACGCAAATTGTGATGACCAATCAGGGACCAATACGTACAGAACACATGACCCATCACACACCACTCTCATTCCCAGACAAAACTAACACTGCGCATGTTCAGCATTCACTTGACAGTCACTCTCACAGAGACGGAAACTGATTCTCACACTCTGACACGGCGTACTCTTGCACATTGTTTGCTGAGGGACTCAACACAAGGCCCAGACACGGTCCCAAGAAAAGTTGGAGGGACATCGCCACTGCTTATCTGAGTGGTCGGTGCGTGACAGGTGACTGGTGCGACTTGGCGCAGGACAGAGGAGACTGGCGCCTCAAGTGCAATCGTCCCCGGCTGGGTGTGCCAAAGCCGAAAGTGTTCATTTGCGGCTGTGGCGGGAACTTCCGTTGGCCCAACATTTAACTCGCCACAGGAAATACTGTAACTCCTAATGCTATCATTGCACGGAGCAATGGGCAACCAAAGGTCCAAAGGGGGGGGGGGGGGGTGTATAAATGTCCACTAGTAGCAAGTATTACCTTCACTGGGGGCAGGGGAAACTGCAGTTGTATCCCTCGACGGATACACTGATGCCGTTAATGCTTGTTCTGCACCTTGTCCTCACCCACTTACTGAGGTGTGGTGAGCCCCATAAGTGGGATCACAGGCCGAAAAATTCGCCAAAAACTGTGGTTTTGAAGAAATCACTGATCTTCATTCTCTTTGTGTATTCCTTCAAGCTCCAAAGTAAATCACATACGCTACCTGTACAATAGACCAATCCCGAAAAGATTGTCTGGGTTCGTGAAAGGGGGCACGCGTGCAAGCCAGCACGTGTGAAGTGCATCGTTTTGTATTCAGTTTGTGTGTGTCAGCTCATGGCGGAGGAGAGAGAGACTTTTGCTCGCCGAGCTGAAGCTAAAGGATTTGATGGAGTCCTGCCAGCAGCTAGTCAAAGGACCTTCGGTACCTCAGGGAGACCCTGACGGAGTTTGGAGGCCAGATAGCTCTCGGTGAGGAAACATTCGCGTGGCGATCGACTCTCCGTAAAAAATGCAAGCTTCATAGCGCCGACATACTGCAACAGCTACGATTTCAGCTAACTTCTCGATCTGCTGCTTCACAATGTTCAACTATTTACAAGTCCTGACTGTTGTAGTCTGAAGCTGGAGTCTCATCGCCCACCTACAGGTAGCTTTTGGAGCTGATGGATTTCCCGACTTGGACTCCTTCCGCAAACTCTTACTACAGTGTATGCTGTGTTTCCGCACGCTCGTGTCGACATGTCACCTATACTGTACATGTACCGGGTCGCGGAGGAGCTTGACGACCTCCGCTGACTCCAGGTTTCCGAAATACTGCCGTCGTCTTCGTTGATGTCGCTGGTGACATTCTCCCCTTGCAGGACGTGCACATAGTTGTCGTTCCGGGGGGTAAAGACTATTTTGTCTTTCGAAATAGTTCTTCATCACGCTCGCGCGAATGATGTTTCTCATCATGAACTCGTTCCGACGGTGTGACACGGCGATGGTCTTTGGCGGGGCACTGGCTTGGCGAAAACGATATCTTCTTGTGCATCTAACATTGATCGGCTGGAGATGAGTACAGTCACTTCGTGGTTGATCCTATAGGAGGGCAGCTGCCAGGAAAGAGGCAGGACTCATCGAAGACGAAGCGCTCGCAACAAACACTAGCACTCGAAATATCTCGTAAGATTTAGGGCCTATCGCTTTGAGCCACAGCGCTCACAGCCTTGCCTACTTCATCAAAGCGAGCTCTACATGTTCGTTGACCTCATCACACTACACAGAAGAGCGAAACAAGGATTATGTCTTAGCATTTCCACTCCAACAGCAGACCATTACCAGTGCGAGAGAGAAAACTACAAAGGGCTTTGCTTTCTGTCGCATCGTCCCTCTTGCATGCAACTAAGGAGAAAACCGTGTACTTACCCTCGCATTCACACGCGAACTATCAAACACGTCCTGTGCCGCATGCTGATCAGGTAGTGCCATGTATGTGTTGTACAGTGTACTCTCAGTTGACATGCCCCCTTTCGAACCCAGACAATCTTTTCGGGATTGGTCTATTCATTTGGGTTTTGGATTGATTTTTATAATTGATTTTGTTTTTGAATTGATTTACTTTTTATTTCATTTTCATTTAACTTACCATATTTTGGGTGTGCATTTTTGCCTCTTCTTGTTCTTTTATTCCATGGCTGGTAGCCCTCATTCATAATATTGGTTGACACCATGTCATCCATGAATTGAGAATAATAATAATAATAATTTTGGCCGAATATGCATTTTTCGCACTGAAATCGCTGAAAATCGATGTTTTTGTGCCTTCTCAAGTGCAGCCAAGTAGGTACACAGTCCAGCAGAAAGTGCCTAGCCAGCCTGGACAGGTCAGAGTAGTGAGTGCAAGAGATCAACCAGACCTACAGCCAGCAGCCAGAATCCTGCAACTACTTTCTACCCACTGTATGTACATCAGCAAAGTGCACCAGCAACTGCACAGAGTCAGTTGTCTACGCAGTATAGTCAGCCAGATGCCCAAGGTCCATATACATCACCAGCTGCGTACCCTCATGCCGGGCCATACAGATCCCATTAACTTTGACGCCGTTGAAGCTACCGCAGTTTGTACTTTTGATAGCTTCGCGCTGGAGATCTCGCCTATGGCGCACAGCTTTTGTTATAGATTGATCTATTATTAATATTATTTTGTGGTACGATCTACGATCTACATTCCGCTACGTGTTTCATTCTACGTTCCTTTGATGCATGCATGACGAAGAGTGACAATGTCTTACCTCATTATGAATCAGTCTTATTCTGCATTACGTCTGCATGGCTGACGTGTGTCTTACTTTGGTACGAGCTGACGAGGCATACTGTCGTGTCATAGCGCCATTAGTGCCACGACAGCACTGACGTGGCTCTGCTGCTTATCTCTCCATGATTGCATTTAACATGTTCACTTCTAAATTATCCTAGAACAAACCAGATGGTGTTTCCTGCTGTGGCATACGCGAGTTGCATGGAAAGAATCTTGCGTGCGTACGTTATAACAATTTCTCCTTGTCGCAACTTGGCTACCTAAGCTACAACTAAACTACACTACACTGAAACCACTGCTACCTGCCTGCCACAAGTCCGGCCTAATGCCGGCTGGGATGTCCGAGACGATGTAAAAAAACTGGAGCTCGAAAAGAAAGTTGTGTTACTTTGTGATTCTCCATTTGAAAGCTCTATTTTGCTGCCTCTGCCGACATGGCAGGGGACATGTACGGGATAGGGCCAGCCATGGTGGGTCACGTGATGACAGCCCTAAGCCTTCAGACTGCAGTCACTGCACACTGAACAAGTTCAGGCATGATCAAGTCTTTTCTCCTGGCAACTGGGTGCCTGTTCACCTACCACTTGCTGTCCAAGCATCTTTTCATTACGAGGTCGGCGAGTCTCCATACGACGGCATATCTGCTGTGTCGTTTCTCCAGGCTGCAGGACCTCACTTCACGCATCTTCTACTCTCTGTGTAGGCACTCCTGCCGGCGCCATCTCCTCAGACCTTCTACACTCTCACACTTGTCATTTTGCTCTTTCTCATAGCCCTCTGTTAATGATCCCAGCAATCTCTTTAAACCACAACCGAGTCCATTAAACCAATGCAATCTACCCTGTCCCCGGGTCATTAGCAGCACACCCATACATTAGAACGATAATGTGACACCGACTAAGGTCTATAGAAATCAAACCGGAAACATCTCAATTCTGCGATCTAAACCGTACCGCACAATGCGAAAAAGTATTCTAAAACAAATCCGCAACAGTACAATTTTACGGCTTGTCATGAAGGAGGTATCTTTGAGGGACAGTACATACACATTAAGAGCTTGTCCGCATAATATGCACATAATTCAATCAGCCAGGTAAACAAGATAAGGTGAGTTGAACTGGTGCATCGGTTGCAAAATAAACATAGAAACATTCTTTTTTTACTCTGTTTTTGCAGAGATGACGGGGCCGAGATTTACAGAATAGTTTAACTTACAGATTCTGAAGGAGTGTTAGGTTGGCAAATACATTGGGAGGAAGGCTTGCAAGTTGATTCGAGTTCAGATATCTAAAAAAGAGACGAGAAAATTACATCCAGGAGAATTCTTGTGTACAGTGATGGCCGCTAACATATCAGGCGGTAACGGGTTATAGGAAATGTGTGCGGTGTCCTATAAATCATCCTTATCGTGTAGATTTAAGGGAGCATGTCCGAGGAAACCAGACGTTGCGTGAAAATGATGTCTCCGGTTAATGCCAAATTGTGCAGGTGACTTTCTTTTGAGGTGTAGATTGACTGTGCAGAACCTTTGAAAACGTTTCTCAAGGGAACCCCATAAACTGGCCTTCTCTTTGAAAATTGTCGAAATATCCCTTGATAAATTTAGGGGTCTGTCTACAAGCGAGCCACGCCAAAGTATTCACGAACAAGCTACGAACTAAAACTACATCAAGCCAACATTTCCCAAACTTCTCGTCACAGCCTGCTAGGCTACCCGTGCTTTGTTTGCGTGTGCCGAGCCTTCCCGTTTGGCTTTGAGAAATGCTCGTATCGCGACGTTCATTGTTCGTGGACTGTGTTCGAAATCATAACAGCGACAACTAACTCTTGGTTTGAAAACGTATCCCGTCGACTTCTGAGGACTTCAGGACCTGGAAACAAAGGACCCGTTCGACAGAAGTATTAACCTCACAAGCTAGTGAGGGTTTGCCTGACAAAAAACTTTTGTGCACCCGCACATGTTGTCCAGGCGTCAGGGGCCCAGCCTCCCTTTACACGCAGCGTCTACAACTGTTCCCTTCAATCAGTGAAGCAGATAATAATAAATATGGTGGTAAAGACACACCTGGCAATATGGCGGTAAACACACGCCTGCCCACACACGCTCTCTAGGCTGCAAAGTTCTAGCACAGGGCTCTCCTTCTCACCACCACCACCATCAGTTCGCGCCTGACGCCTAGTCGATGCATGGTTGGCGGTATCCGACATAGCAGGCTGGTACATCATGGTCCATTGAACGGGACTCGGCCGTCCCCCTGCTATCACGTCCCTCCTTACGCCCTTGTCCGTTGAGTGCATAGTTTCTGTTGTAGTTGGCTGTTGATCGTCTTGGTCTTTCAATAATGGGCTTGGATGGTGGATTATTTGTGGTTGCTGTAGATTGCATTGTTGGTGATGGTGTGGGAGCTGCTAATACTCAAGGTGAGTCTTTTTGGGTTGGCAATTGTAGTGTCAATGCCCCTGCCGGTGTTGCTTGCGGTCTGTCACTGGCAAGCTCCACCGCCGCAAGAACCGACGGCGGAGGATCAGGAGGAGGCAGTGGGACCGGGACCGCAAGCGGCACCACCCCAGCCAAAGCGGCCGGGGGCACTGACGAAGGAACCACCGACGGCAGGAGCAAAGGCGGCGACACAAAACCGGCCCGATGAGCCACCACGCCCACCCTCCTCCACCACCACCACCAGCGACGGCGGAGCAAGCACAGTCTGCGAGCCAGGATCCGCAAGTTGTGTAGGTAACGGTTGTTTTCTAGGTCGCCCTCGCTTCGGTCTTTGTTGTTGTGCGCAAGGTGGAAGTATGTGACGTGGTGTGTGTTGTTTGATGCGTGCGTTCAGGTGCTGAACGGTCCTACCAACATACCGACTAGCGCATTGTCGGCATTCAAAGTTGTAAATAAGATGACTAAGGTGAAGGGCTGGTAGGACATCCTTCCGCACCGTAAACGCACGCATCGTCGTAAAAACTGGCACAAAGTGTACTGCATAGTATGTTGGACGAACAACGGACTTGACTGCACAACAAACTTTAGTCGACTCCGGTCCTTTCCAAGGCAAACATAATTAGACGGGACAACGAGCAGGACCAAACAAAGGAGCCTTAGTAGTTTGTTCGACTTTCAACAACTTCTGCAACAAAAACTCAGGGATAACAGAGAGAGCGCAGAGGAAGCAGATGATGGGACGGACGGTGAAGGGAGCAATGAGTCGGAGAGCGACGATTGTAATGATCGTGAGAGTGCCGGTGAGAATGTTAGCGTTGTGCGTAGGTTTCGTGGTAGCAAGTCTTCAGTGTACAATCATCTGTTGGCTAGTCCTGATTGTTGCAATTCGTATTCCGACTCTTCATTCACTGTATTGTGCCGTAGTCGTCATGGTTATGGACTGCAGTTAAAGGTTTTGGAAGCCATCTGTCAGCGTCTGTATAAGCCTAATTAGTGTGTACAGAAAGATAGTATAATTGGGTTGAAATTGTTCAAGTAAAGTGTCATGTTTGGTGCGGCCAAGCTTGGCCGTAATGTTCTAGGTGTAATGTACTGCTGTTATTTGTTATCACTTTGTCCTTTCTTCTTTCTTTCTCTTCTTTGTTCACTTTTCAGTTGCAAGTTTAGTGTTAGTACACACATTCGTTATTGCTCTCGCTTTCATTGTTAAATTTCATACTTGTAAATTTCACTGCTGTTGTTCTTAGTGTTATTTCTCTAACTTAGATTTTCTATAATAGTTCAATTTTGTTATCAGTGTCCTTTGGTACAACGAAGATTCCTGATGAGTGTTGTACGAAAACTTGTTTGAATCCCTTTCTTTCTCTACACAATTTCTTCACATTTTTCATCGTTTTATTGCACATTGTCTCCACAGTTTTACAATACATGAATACAGTGTACACAAATGTCGATCCAGCTTGTATTACTGATTGCGGTTATCAAATTGTTGTCTCCTCGCCGTTTGTTCAAATAATAATAATAATTACAGATGGAGCGGACTCGCTCCCTTCTATTTACACTGCAACGTTCGAACACATTTTCGTAGTTAAAACAACGTTTCGGCATATAGCCCTCATCAGGTTTGCAATGATGTGCACTCTACAAAGGAGCAGCAAATATACTGTGCCGTGCTGTGTTTGCGCTAAGTGTGTCAGCTACAAAGGTGGCAAAAGGGATTGATGATAATTATATTAATATCCAGATACGATATATTCACAGTAGTGCCCAGCCAGCATTAGTGTTTACTTGCGGCCGCAAGTTGCGGATTTCAACAACTTCTCGCAGTTTTCTGCTTGCTCTGCCGAGAACACACTATCCGCAGCAGCTATACTCTCGCCAGAATGTTTGTCGCGCACGTGGTCACCCCATGGCTTATCGAGAGTGCGACGGCGTGCCTCACCATTGTGCTCCCGAATTCTTGTTTCCAAGGAGCGTTCCGTCTCCCCTACATACGTTTCCCGGCACCATTTGCATTGCAATTCGTAGACTACATTCTTTGTCATAGGGCCATAAGTATCTCCTGGTCATGGCAGATTACTTTACGCGATGGGTCGAGGCGTTCCCTTTGCGCGATATCACTGCTATTTCGGTCCCTGCAGCTGTCGTTAATGGGTGGATCAGTCGGTTCGGTGCACCTGACCAGCTTCATTCAGATCAAGGGGCCCAATTCGAATCCCGGCTATTTGCGGATATCTGCCGTCTCCTTGGTATCCGCAAGACGCGAACAACGCGGTATCATCCTTCTGGCGATGGTCTGGTGGAGCGCGTCAACCGCACTCTTCTAGGTCTGCTGCGTGCCCACATTACTCCAACCAGCACGGAGTGGGATGCAACGTTCCCTCTCGTCTTGCTGTCATATCGTGCTGCAGTGCACAGGTCCACTGGTTTCAGTCCAGCGCGCCTTCTGTATGGTGCGGATGTCCGGTTACCAGCTGATATTGTGTTCAATTTACCTTCGCCACCTTCCACTGATATGCATACCTATGTCCGTAGTCTCGACACTTCTCTGCGGAATATTCACGTTGAAGCCCGTCATAATGCTCATCTTGCTCATGCGTCTCAAGAACAGTTCTATAACCGTCGTGTTCATGGTGAGCCTTATGTTGTCGGTCAGCAAGTATATCTTCATGATCCAGTTATCCGTGCTGGCGAGCACCGTAAATTTCATCGTTTCTGGTCTGGTCCAAGTCGAAATACTATTGTGCGTGTTCATGGTCCGACATCATACACGTTATTGCTGAATGGAGTTGAACGTACTGTTCACTTCAATCGCTTGAAGCCAGTTACTTCATCGTGCCCAGTTTCCTTACCGTCGTCTGTCCATGATCTCCCCGACCCAGTGAGTTTGTCAGCTAATGACTTTGTTCCTGTTCTGCCACATGATGAAGATGACTCTGTGCCGAGTACGCCTCCGTTGTCGCCGCCTGTTGCCGTCTCACCACTACCTCCTTCTGTTGCTACCCCAGTATTAGTGCGTCGATCAGGCCGGATCCGCACTGCTCCTGCGAGATTTGATGACTATGTTTCGTAGTTAGGTCATTGTACATCCGTAATTATTATAAATTTAATTGTTTTTGCCCTGCTTGCCTATTATTCACGAGGTCGTGAATGGTGAGAGGAGGGGGATTGTGTAGTGTAGGACAATGATTACTGACGATTGTTATTTCTTACATTTGTATTTAGTATTTCCTGCTACTGTCCACGTGACGAATCTCTTGCCTTGTAAGCCGCGCGCATGCTCACGTGTTTCATGCCTTTCTCTCTCCTCTCCTCTGTGACAAGTAACCTTAGTTTTACTATCAACAGTTTGAGTGTCTGATGAAACCTGGGAATAGTCTGGTATTACTATTAGGAAAGGGAATACTACATTGGTGGCAGCGGTAAACGCTCTCGATCTCGTCTCCTGAGCTGTGGATCGTCTCCGAAGAAGCCCTGACACTCTGGACCACGCAAGTCACCCATTCTACCTCCGAGATGTCGTAGATTTACCTGTCTTCTTTCTGAAACTACTAGTACTAGTAACTTCAATGATGGCTGTCGTCTCTTGCTGTTCGCTCTTTTATGTTTTTTTTTCTTAAGCCTCTTAAACGGGCAATCACAGAACATGATTTCACTGGCCTGACCGCGGCAACAACTGCAAAGCAAAACAAAACAACAACAAAAATCTATTTTATGTGCATGACAATTAGAGTGCCTGCTTGTTGATTGCTTCAGTGTTTGCCTGTCTTTGCAACATCGCGCGGTGCCTGCCTGTCGACATTTTGTTTGTTTTCTGTACGTGCATCACTGCATGCACTACATCAAT